AACTCAAAAAAAAAAAAAAAAAAATCTCAGCTGGGCATAGTCGCTCATGCTTGTAATCCCAGCTCTTTGGGAGGCTGAGGCAGGAAGATTGCTTGATCTCAGGAGTTTGAGACCAATCTGGGCAACACAGAAGACCTCGTCTCTACAAAACAATTAAAAAGTAACTGGTTGTGGTGGCAGGTGACTGTAGTCACAGCTACTCGGGAGGCTGAGGTGGGAGGATCACTTGAGCCCAGGAGGTGGGGGCCGCCTGTGAGACAAGATCATCCGTCGTGATCCTGCCACTGCCCTCCAGCCTGGGCGGCAGAATAAGGCCCCAACACCCCCCCACCCCAAAATTTGAAAACAAAATTATAAAGAGGAAAATGCTATCAGTAATCTTCCTACCCAGAGTAAATCACTGTTGATTATGTTTTTTCCCCCAGTCTTTTTTTGGAGTGTATGTGCAAGCACGTGTGAACAGATGTAGAAGATATGCTCCTGGCATTTTAGGTTTGTAATTTTTTTTTTTTGAGATGGGGCCTCATTCATTCCTTCAGGTTGGAGTACATGGGTGCAATGATAGCTCACTGCAGACATGAGACCCAGCCTTCTGAAATTGGGACTACAGGAGTGTGTCAGCAAGCCCGGACAATTTTTAATTTCTATTTCTTGTAGAGACAGGGTCTCAATATATTGCCCAGGCTAGTCTCGAGCTCCTGGCCTCAAATGATCCTCCCACCTCGGCTTCCTAAAGTGCTGGGATTATGGGCTTGAGCCATAGCACCCAGATGGTTATAAATTCCTTAAGGACAAGTACAGGCCAGGCACCATGGTTCACCTATAATCCTGGCACTTTGGGAAACTGAGATGAGAGGACTGCCTGAGCCCATGGGTTTGAGATCAGCCTGGGCATCTTGGCGAGACCTCATCTCTGCAATAAATCAAGAAAAATTAGCCAGACATGACGGTGCATGCCTGTAGTTCTAGCTAGTTGTAAGGCTGAGGTGGAAGGATCACCTGAGCTCAGTAGGTCGAGGCTGTGGTGGCTGTGAGCATGCAACTGCACTCCAGCCTGGGCGGCAGAGTAAAACTCTGACTCAAAAAAAGAAAAAAAGCAGACTATACTCCTAAGTAGTATGAGGTGGTTGTAAAACTTGATGATGACGATGACTGCACACATGCAGATTTTTATGAAGACGTATTGCACGGTACATTTAAAATGGATGGATTTAGCTGCTTCTAAATTGTACCTCAATGAAACTATACAAAGCAGGCCGGGCTCATGCCTATAATCCCAGCACTTTGGGGTGAGAGCCGAGGTGAGAGCATTGCCTGAACCCACAAGTTCAAGACCAGGCTGGGCAACTTGGTGAAACTTCATCTCTACAATAAATCAAGAAAAATTGACTGGGTGTGATGGTGCGTGCCTGTAGTTGTAGCTACTTGTAAGACTGAGGTAGAAGGATCACCTGAGCCCAGTAGGTCAAAGCTGCGGTGGCCATGAAGGTGCCACTGCTCTCTGTCTGAGCTAGAGTGAGACTCTGACTCCAAAAGAAAGAACAAGTACAGCAGGTTGTATATGATAAGAGATTCTAACATACAGTCTAAGTTTCTGATTTACACATATGCCTGCCTTGCGTGTCAATGACTGTGGTGGGGAGGTGGGATTCCTTCTCACTGCTTTTTTTGTTTTTTGTGGTTTGTTGAGTCGAAGTCTCACACTGTGGCCCAAGCTGGAGTGCAGTGGCGTGCTCATGGCCATGGCAGACTTGACCTGCTGGACTCAGGTGATCCTTCTGCCTCAGCCTTCCAGGTAGTTGGAACCACAGACACGTGCCACCATGCCTGGCTAATTTATATTTTGGGGGATGAAGTCTCGCCATGTTGCTCAGGCTGGTCTCAACTCCTGAACTCAGGCAATCCTTTCGCCTTCGGCTCCCAAAGTGCTGGGATGACAGGGTGAGCCCCCGTACCCAGCCCCGCTCTCACTGCTAAGCAGCAGTCTTCTCCCTGCAGCCATGGCCGGGTTCTGCTCCCCACTGCTGAGGTGGTGGGAGCTCTGGTCCCATGTGGAGGACCTTACTTCTCATCATGCTGAGCAGAAGGCCCTGTTCCTGGCTGTCTTGGAGGGTGGGGAGGACCTGGCTTCTCATGAAATATTGGCAGGGCTATTTCCCCTACAGCAACAGAGGGCTTCCCTTCCCTCTGGATGGTAACAGCAACCTTTCTTTTTTCTCAGGAAGAGGGAAAGCACTCATCCCGATTGTTGGGGCAGTGGCTGTGTAGACGCGCTTCCAGTGCTCTGATTAGAGTGCTCATCACCAGACGCTTTCTTCTCTAGCTTTGAACCAACCACGCACATTGTCACCATCTGCCTTTGAAGACAGCTCGTTTCTCTTACTGTCATCTCATTCCTGCCAGGCCCTTCAAGCCTCAGGTTTTCTTTCCTGAATGTTCTCTACACGCTTATGGCGCTGGGACCTCATCACAAGTCCACACTCTCGGCCCTCACTGCGAACCTGCTAATTCAGAAACCCTGGAGCCCAGCGACAGCTTCCAACAGTCACCCCAGGTGATTCTGACGCCTGTTCACGCTTGACCACTTCCCTGGTCTCTCCCCTCATCCCTGAAATTCTCACCTTGGCTTGACAATTATACATCACACCACATTGTATTTATAACGAATTGCTTCATGTCTACTGCCTGCCAAAGCCAGTGTCTTCATTGTGTTCGTATTTCCTCCTAATAATTATTCAATTTAGTGAGATTTTCCCAGAATCCCTGGGAATATCTCAAAATACAAGAGCGTTTTTAACCACAGGATCCTGAGAAGCCTAACACCCGGAAACATTATACAAATGTCCATCCACGATGGGAAGACAGCGCCCAGCGGAGGCCCAAGATGTCCAGCAGGCCCGACCTCGCCACCTCCCGCCCCTGGCATGATCCTCTGTCCTACTCAGGCTCCTCTGCAGGTGTTCCAGGGAATCAGCTGACGGTGCTAGCTGTGTGCTTCAGGTGTGTCATTCAGCTTCTGTGGGCCTTGATTCCCTCATCCAAGAGCGGGGCGGTAATGGCGATATGTGCTTCCTGGTGCTCTGAGGACTGAACGGAACAGTCTGTGGAAAGGCCCAGGACGGCATCTGCGTGACTCAGGCGCTGCCACGGCTTCTCCCGCACCTGTCGGGATTCGTGTTCACACACACCAGCACTTCCGTGTATCTCACGTCTCCATCTGGGCTAGTCTCCATGCACAGCTACTGACCCGCGTGTTCTTCACCGCCTTCCTGGGAGGGCGCTCCCTGTGGCCTGGATCCTACATCTTCCTGTCGGCTGTGTGCAGCCTTCACCTGGGAGGGCGTATCCTCCAGCAGCTTCCTGAAAAGGCAGGTACGAGCGCATCTTTTGAGCCTGCTCACCTGAACATGTCTGTGCTTTCCTACTTTGGTAATTTGGCTGAGTAGGTTGGGAATCTCCTTTCCCTGGGCCTGGTCCATTGTCTTCTGGCTTGCAGGGCTGTGCTTGGGAAGTCTTATGTATCTCTTTTGTTTTTGTTTTTGAGTCAGAGTCTCACTCTGTTGCCCAGGCTCACTCCCACAACAGCCTCGACCTGCTGGGCTCAGGCGATCCTCCCACCTGAGCCTCCCAAGTAGCTGAATCCAAGGCATGTGCCACCACGCCCGGCTAATTTTTCGATTGATTGTAGAGATGACGTCTTGCCAAGTTGCCCAGGCTGGTCTCAAATCCCTG